TACAACACAAATATGGAGCTAGAGCAATGGTAGGCAGCCCAACTCCTAGGCTCTCTTTGTGCGGAGGTTCAAGGATCGATTCCTTCAAGTGTTTTGTTTTTTGAAAAAAAAAATATGAAACAACCTGGCGCACCTCTATTGCCCAACTTTTAATCTAATTTTCTCAATCTATGTCCAATTTGTTTCATAAGAAATACTACTATAAAGCCAGTATTGCAGTATGTATCCCAAAATTTCAGCTTATCTGTTTTACTAGTTTAATAACGCGTGTTGCGCGTTCGTAGAAAAAGGGCTTATAGTGACACTAATTTAGTGTCGCTGAAACTTTCTGCGACACTTAAAAAGCGTCGGGGAAAGTGGCGGCTAGCGACACTAAATATAGTGTCACTAGTGCAGGGACAATTTTGTGTCAACAAATTATGACACTAATGTATCGCCTAAAATAGCGACATTAAAGCATCAAGAACACATTGTGACGTTAATACATCACAAAATTTAATGACACTTCAGCATCATAGATTTTTATGACACCTCAGCATCATAGTACTATGAAAACACACGTGATATATTGATTACAATATATATATATATATATATATATATATATATATATAATACTAATAAATAACCATAAATCAAAAGTTTTTATTTATATCTCAAATTCTCACATAAATGTGAATGTACATAGTACATAATTCATAGGGGCATCCCCAAAACAATAAATAACACACAAAAACAAACGCTGACTAGTCCAACTTTTACACCATGCTTCACAAGGCGTTCACATTCTTCTTATACGTAGACATCACATTTTCTTCTACACAGAATGAAGCCATCATTCTTATACTGCCAATGTCACTAGGAAACCTTAGCAGCTGCAATGAATCCCTCTTGTTTGGATGCGACTAGACAATGTACCTCTTCTGTAATCATCAGTGCAAGTCTCACATTGTACTCAAAATCTAAGTAGCTCTTCTGAAAAATGACAAAAGTAGTAATAAAACATAACTCGACGGAACAAATCACAAAGACTAAAAAAGTGTTAAAAACAAAGGGTTACTATCTAGCTACACCTTCTTGTGACAGTGGAAATTAGTTATCCGTTCAGAAGAAAAGAAAGCAGATAAAAAAGGTACCATATAAACATGCTTACTTTTTAAATGCAATGAATCTATCCATTTTACCAACTTATTGTCTGGAATAGCAATTCATTTTCTGAAAAAAGAAATAAGAAAATTGACAATTTTGAAAATACAAGGCTGGATATGCGATACATCCATGAATGAATAGAAAAAGTTCGTACTTTTATTAAGGTGTCCATGTAAGAAAAACATCATTTATTTATCCAATATTCATAAATTATAAGAATGCTGTATTTAAAGATTACTGAAAAAGAAAAACTAACAAAAGGAATTGCTGCAAACCTTCAGAGTCATTCTTCAACTTCTCATTGGGATTGATGACACCCCCTCTAACAAATGCCTTTGAACCTGGCACATCATCACCTTGAAATGACTCCACAAACTCTTGATACAAACGAGCTGTTTCATCCTCAGCTCTCTGCAAAAGAAAACCAGCAACAGTTGCTAAATATTAAGAAGTATAAACAGCTGTATAAAGTAGAGGCATCAAAAAGTTCACACTTGTACCTTTGTCTTAGCTTCTTCTTCCCGGTGTTTCTGAAATGGTGTCTTCTTTCATGAACTCATTTTGTCACGATACACTGGATTTACAGCACAGCTTAGTTGAGCAGACTACAATACCATAACAAGTCTGTCAGCACAGTTGTCCATGTTTATAATATAGCTGAAGTGAAACGAAATACGAATGGGCTAAAAGAAATAAATGTCAAATGTTAAATAAGAAATAGTTCAATTCGAGTTACCAGGGCCCTCAAAACTTCAAATGCAATTCAAAAGGAAACGAAGTTCGTTAAGCGTTTCCACTTCAAAGTAATAAGCAAGAGAGACGGGAGCCAATTCAGAAGCCCTAGAAAGTAATGAAAGCACAATTAGCTATAAAACCGTTGGAGCTGCACATCTGGTTAATATGATATGCCATACAAACAAGTATAACACCATAAGAAATAACAATGTGATATTTCTCAAGTACTCGACAAGAAAAAGCAAATTAATTCACCGTTGGGCGTTGGTTCAATACTGATCTCCTAAATGATCCAGAATTCTATAGCCTAACTGGAAGGAAAAAAAATCATCCCAACAGAGTTTTGAAACCAAGGGACAAGACTAACAACAATAACTTTTTTCAAGGAGGAATAGCTTTGAGAGAAATTTACAAATTCAGAGATCAAAACCCATGACTTCAGCCAGACCATGAGCAAAGCTAAGAACACACCTGGAGGAATCAGCAAACTCTGTTAATGAACAAAATAAGAGTCCTCAAAGTTCGCCTTCTGCTCAGGAAATAGAGAGCACTAAAATGTTGCCTCAGTGACATTTGAGGGTCAAAGAGAGAAAATACACACCTGCAAATACTCGTTTCTTAAGCTTGTTAACTCCATATGTTCTCCCTCTTATGAAGATGCAATCCCTACCATCAGCAAAACATTATAACATATTAGAAGCATATGGGCAGAAACATATAATCACAAATAGCCATAAAACTACGAATAAACACATTGCAAATACATATAGTCATTTATATTATATAGCTAGACATGCTACTGTTACATACGGCCATGAATACCGATCGCTCCACATGTAGTAGAAGTATAAGACATTAAGAGAAGATGTCCAAGAAGAAGCGAGAAAAATACGTACTATTAAAAGAATGCTCTTTAGCCAGACTGTGCAGGAGAAAAGCAATCAGAACTGCACTTGAAAAAAACCCTTGATATGAAAATCTAAGACAGATTATTAAGCACATACTTGAAAGTTATTGAGTTAGAGTATAAGATAGCCATTAGCCTTCTTAAAAACAGTTATTGGTAACCTCTGTATTTTAGGAGCCTTGCTAACCTCCTTCCCCTTTTTATTGGTAAATGTCTTGCGGTATGTGTTGACATACTTCCTGACATCATCTTCCTTGGACAGGTTGAAGAGCTTCCTAATCTTTGAAGCTCTTTTAGGACCCCTCATCCTTGGCTTCTCAACATCAGTTAGTCCAGGAAGGTCATTTTCACCTTTCTTCACAATGACCAAATTCAGAACTGAGAGGTAAGGACTGACAATGCACCCACGTACTGACTTTCTTCTCCTCTCACCATCACGCCTTCCATAACCCCGGAAACAAGGAGTGCCTCTAGGCAGTAAAAGGCGAACACGGTTTGGAGTCAAGACTCCTTGCTTCATGGGAAATCCTTGTTTGTCACATCCAGCCATGATCTTGAATACATATCCCTTAAACTCCTCTCCTAAAGCATCACCACTGACTTCTTGAGAGATTCTCTTGTCATAAAAGGCACGAAGTTTCTGTTCATCGTCAATCTCTAGCTTCTTCTGGCAACCCGTAGTCGGATTTGCAATGTTGAACTTCATCCTCGCTGGAAAAGAGAAGTGGCCGCTATGAAGATAATCTTCTCAGACGGTTTGCGCTCACTCCCAGCTTCTCCTAAGTTAGAGTATAAGATAGCCATTAGCCTTCTTAAAAACAGTTAGTTGAAACGTTCATGTATCTATACTATGCTTTGATACACTAAATAAATTTTAGATACACTAAATATGTTATATAACACAAAATTCCAATTCAATTTGTGAGACAAGGGCTAACAACGGCATAAACTGCAGCATTAGAGTACCAAAACCTAAACCAAAATTAAAACACACTACATATAAAATTAAGGAAAATAGACACGAACACATTTCCATTTGAGAACAATTTGGTAAATAAACAAATATAAACGAAAGACATTAAAAACACATACATAAAGTTCAAAGCAAAAGTGTAATCTATTAGAATTTGAATTTTAAAATCATAATTGGTCTTTATAAATTTAATAACATTCAAAATCCAATAGAAAATGGTATGAGAAGTCAACAACATCAGAAATTGTAATCATTAGGGCAAGAATTTCAGAAGCTAAATCAAACTAAAAAAACCTTGAATGCATAAGGAAAGTGTAAAAATCTATAAAGGAAAGCTAAAGAGATACGAAATCTGGTGATTAACTGGTCAGGCCAGAGATGAATCTGAGAGAACCCAAGTCCAAGAAGAATCGGAGAATCGGTGAATCCAAGAAGAACTCGAGTCGAAGTCGTCTGGAGCAGCAGCGGTCATCAGGAGCAGCAGCGGTCATCGGGAGCAACAGCGGTCATCGGGAGCAGCACCGACATCATCTTCGTCGAAGTAGTCACGAGCATCTGCGGCGTCATCTTCGTTGAAGTCATCAGGAGCAGCGGTGATGGCTTCTTCGTCGAAGTCGTCCGGAGCAGCATCGGCATCGTCTTCATTGGTTGAGGAGCTAGGGCTCGTAAAAAGAAGGGGAATCGTAAGCAGATGTAAAATAAGTCTGGAAGGAAGAGAGAAAAGGGGAGGGGGATCGGAGGTGAAGGAAGTAGAATGTAACAATGGTATAAATGTGTTAGGTTTAGGAAATTTTAAAAACTAAAATTAAATTATGAATTCAGCTCAAAGTGTCACTATTATGTGTTGATGTATTAATGTCATTAGTTACTGATATGTAAGTGTCGTAAATGTATTAGCGACATCATAGTGTCACTGAACAAGTGTCACTGTAAGCTGTTTTTCTAGTAGTGAGGGACACACAATATCTCAGTTAAAGTTTAATGAAAATATGACTAATATGAGTAAAATGGTTGAATATATAATTTGTTATTTATGAATAAAGAATCATAAACAATAAAGCATTTATAGGATAGAATATATGTGAGAAAATAAAATAGACAACATGATTATAATAAACAGAATAGTAGTGAGATTCACATGAAACAGTAGTATGTATTTGTGTTTTATATCAAAACAAACATAATAAACACAAAAATGTTTTAATCAAAGACGTAGTCAAATATGTATTGGACTGCAGCGTTTGAAAGAAAATTAAAACAATAGTTCTAGGAAAATAGTTGGAGTAATAGAAGTAGTGGGTAATGGTGATAAGTAATCTTCTACTCCCGAGTGTGGGAGCTTCATCTTTGATGAAGGAGGGGTTGATGGATCAATGTTGGTTGTGACAATGTAATGAGATGCATCATGCAAAGATGTTATGGTGTAGGAGGGTCCTGGGTTGGTTTGATAAGTACTTGATTGTGACCTCAGTTGTACAATATACTCTTCCTTATCCAAGCGCTTGTTTGCATATTGAAATGATGCCTTCTTACCCTTCATAATTTATAAAAAGGGGTCAACATATTGTGAAGTGTCAAATTATAATATTTTATGTATTTTAAATTTAAAGTATTAAATTAGCGTAGCTTGGTAATTGGTCAACCTGTAGCTCTACTTCCATAATTTGTTTGCTAGTCATGAGCAGAAGTTTTTCCACGCATTGCCCAAAAACCGAGGCTTCAATTGTTGAAGTAGTATCAGTGATTGAGACATTCGCTCTGGATCTAATAATTTCATAAAAAAAATCCAAGAATTGTCAATAGAATTTTGTTTAACTTTTGAACTCAGAAAAGGTTGATCATATATTGAATTGGTATTTTTGATAGCTGACCTTGGAGTAGCAATTGCATCCTCCGTACCACAATGCATGCAAAAAAACCTTGTATCAGAATCTGCATAAACTGTTTTCAAACAGTTGCTACAAGCCATGTACCAAAGACTATCACCTTCAAGCTGTAGATTGATTTTGCCGTGAATCCAAACGGGTTTCGTCTGCAACATTGTCAATCAATCATTGTTATGATGGATCCATTTATTATTATTATTATTATTATTAGTTATTTTGTTTAAGTATTGCCGAACATACCGGATCAATTGATGGAGGTACTTCAGATATTTTAGAAATTTCATCAACGACTGGAATTGCAAGGTTAATTGCAGCATTATTGTATTCACGGCATATCTTGAGTGCATCAAGAGTAGGACGATTTTCAACTGCCCTGCATAAAGCAAGGTGAAATAAATGTTAATGCGAGAGCGTGCGCAAGGAATTGGTACGAGATTATGTATATTTATTATATGTGATGTAGTGACGTACCACTTTTGCAATTGTTGAGCTCTTGAAGATATAGGATTGATTGTTACCGTAGAATGGGGTTTTGTGCACAATGAAATACCTTCAAAACCCGTATATATAGTGAAAATATAGAAGACTATGTGATAATGAGAATTTTGAACAACAATAATTTTATACAATTACGTATGTAGGTATATTATACAAGGATAGTATTATATGGAGGAAATAGATGCATATGGTATGACATAATTTGAAATAGAAAATACTTTAACTATAATGTGTTGACAAAGTGGCATGGAGATAGATATACATATGTACCATTATTCGAAATAGAAAATTCGTAAGATTTGAAATATGCACCACCACCCCATGATCATTTTAGCTATGTTGTACTACACTGTTTTACTTTAAATTCAAATATATTACTAATTGATACAAATGCTATATAAATGATTTGAAACTTCATAATAATTATTTTATATCGATCATTTTCATGTGGTATTAGAATCTCCATATTCTGCCAAGGGAGGTCTTATAAGATTAGAGACCAGTGACAATTCATTTAAAACGCCTCCTCATGTTCAGATAAAAGTATTACATTTCAATTTACTAAATTTTAATTTATCCATAAAAAATGAAATGGCAAGAACTTAAAACGGGAAGCAGCCCATGATTGAAAAGATTACACTTTGTGTATGCTTAAAAGTGTTAACTTTATATATATTCGTAAAAGTATTAGTTTTGTGTATTGATAAAATATGTGTTGGGAAAAAAAAAATTGGGAAAATAATTGGTAGTGATTACTATAGCTATTTACCTTTGAAGGGTGTGACACCTATATTTTCAATAGATATGAGGGGGTATTCGTTCACATTCAGCAAGTTGACAATTTCGCTTCCCTCAGTATCAGCAAAATCTCCCCAAAGAGTAAGTGCTATTGGTTTCAGCCTGCAATGATATGCATTTGTTATTGATTTATACATATGAATTAATGGGTGGCTATGTGATAAATAAATGTAAGTGTTATGGCAAACATACTTTTCATCGACCAACACAATCTCCTTGATATGTTTATCACCCTTACTGGTGGGAATGACTTCCTTTGGGAGTTTGTCTATCACGATGCCCATAAGTGTTGTATGGAAAATAAAATTTTAAAAAATGAGTACACATGAGGATGATTTTTGCGTAATCATAAACAAATTGAATGTAGGTTTTTAGAGAGTTAACTTACAGATTTCAATTCCAGATTTCATGCAGTGGTAAACATCATAGAAAGCGTTGTATACTCTGTTACATGCATTGATGAAAGCAGATGAATCACGTAGCGGTTGGACGACTGTACGACCACTTAATATCCATGTGTACTTGTACCTCTCATCTGGAACACTGTAATTAGGGCGTTAAGGTTTGACATTCGCATTGGAAATGGTGTAGCAGGAGTCAAGATGGAGTGTGGAGTTGTATCTTGGGATGTCGTTGTCAAAAACCACCGCTTGAACTCGGATTCCCTTTTTAATCATTAATAAAGGTGTTTAGAATAGTCAATGGTGTCATTATAAGAGAGATAAAGACGTTTTTTTAAAAACATAATTAACTGTTTCCACATATAATTTGAAAGTACGAACTACGTAAATGATAATTAGTCTTGGTTTGCAAATATAGGAGACATATTTAAATGTCTGATATCCATTCTTGCAGAATGAACACCTGAAAATTGCCAGTTGTTGACTCCCTTATTGTGTAGATTTTTATAGATTTACCGATCGATCAAAATGACATAAATGAAGCAATAAAGAGAATAGAAGATGATATTTACACAACCAAAACAGTTACATATGTATGACCATAAACTGTGGAAGTTTCGAACTTAAAGTAATATGATGTAATGGTGTAAAATCTGTAATATTCAAGATTATGTTAAAACCGGATGCTGTGAACTATGTATTTGGCTTAAAAGTTGAAGTTGACTGGATGATGTAAAATTTAAGATTACTAATATGAAGTGGCTGCTGTTTTTATCCAAATCTTAAAGATTTTATACTATTAATATGAGTTGAAGTTAAGGGAAACCATAGTCCATTTAATTTTTCACACTTCAGGAACTAATACTACCCTAATTACAACAAAATACAATATAATTGGTCATGTCACTAATTCTTTAAGCCATGTTTGACATGTTGAGCTAATAGCTGAAAAAATGCAGCTAGAAAATGAAAGTCAAAAATATGGCTAATATTGTTCACTATCTTTAAAAAACTAAAAGTGATAAATTTTGATAAACCAACATGTATATGGATTCATGTAGTAAATAACCATGTTTAATGAGGAGCTTTTATTGAGGATGGAGGTAGTATTAATATAGGTGAACTATTGGGCATATTTGGCGCTGAAGTAAAAAAGGGGAACAATTCAATGTTTTAATGAAAGCGTTCTAAGATTATATTACCAAACAAATGAAAAGTTCAGTTCTCTTCTATAAAATAGCATAACAGATATCATCAAAATTTGTAATCATATTACTGTTACCAAACAGAGCTTATGTATTCATTTAAAGTTCAAAATAAGCTATGACCACTCAAGTCTTCAGGGCAATGTAGCATTAAACAACATACAATAGTATGAGATGGTACCCGTTGTAGTGGAAAAATGATGGTTACCTGTTTGTCTTCAAGCAGGATTTGCATGAAACGTTTTCCAGGTGTGTTGGTTGACAACTTTTCATCGAATTTTTTCACAATACGTACTTGACAACTCCATCCTCTCATTTGTGGGGTGATGTCCACTAAGTCAAGTGCTTTTGCCATAACAACCTGTATACATTGTGAGAATTATTTAACGGCAAAACAATTGTAGTAAAATCACATAATGTGTAGGACTAACCTATTTGGTTGTAGGAGCTTTGCATGCTTCATTCAATATCTCTTGATACACAATGTTTTGAGTGATATTTGTATGGTGTGTGTCTAAAGAGCTATTGCAAATTAACACTTTTAAACAATCTGCTTTTTTTACCCTTGACATTGCGACATATAGTTGACCGTGCGAAAAGACTGGTTCTCTTAGGTATAGCCCAACAAAATCAAATGTTTGCCCTTGTGCCTTATTTATTGTCATAGCAAAGCAGATCTTGACGGGGAATTGATGTCGCTTGAATGGAAACGGACAATTGTCATCCTTTGAAGGTTCGAGGGGTATTTTTGGTATGAAAACATGTTTGCCCTTGTGTTCTCCCGATGCTATGAAACAACTAATAACATGATCTCGAAAGTCATCACATATTAAGCGGGTCCCGTTACACAATCTTCGGCTGGATTTAGGTTCCGTAGTAGGATTAATGGGCATTTTTTCTCAATACCAATTTGTGGGGAGGTAATCCAGACAATGTGATTGTGTGTAGGAAGTCTGCATACTCATGATGTGAAGATCGATCGAGCAACTCATCATAACTAATGTAGCATTTCTCTTCACCGGGCATGGCGGAGATCAAGGTGCTATTTAGGTCATCGACGAATTCATTTTTGGTCGTCAGTATTGCTCGTTTCATCAACGGGTATGGGTCATTGATGAATTCGTTTAGGTTTGGGAACACCATGTTAAGCAATCTGTTCAAAGATTCAGTTTCTGTTGTGTATGGAATAAGAAATGATTCTGGAATTTCAATACAATCTCCGACAACAGTTTTTTCGGTTCCATTACCCACTCGCATCAAGTATTCTGAAAAAGATGGATCTTCTTTAGCTCGCATATTTTGGGTCAACACTAATCTTTCAACTGATGGCCAAATAGTTTCTGATCTGACTAAGCTAGCTGCAATTAAATCTCTTCTGCTCCCAGCCCTAATTACGGGCAAGGTTTGTCGAAAATCACCTCCAAACACTACCACTTTATTGCCAAATATGCTATCACAATTTGTGATGTCTCGCAGTGTGGTGTCAACATTTTCGATCGTTTTCCGATTGGCCATTGTTGCTTCATCCCACAAAATCAACTTGCAGTCTCTTATTAATGTTGCTTCAGCACTTTGCTTTCCGATATTGCACACAAACCTATCATCTGTGTTTATCGGTATTTTGAACCTAGAATGGGCTGTTCGGCCACCGGGCATGAGTGAAGCTGCAACACCAGAGGTTGCTGTTGCAAGTGCAATTTCACGTTGTGATCGTACTTTTGCCAAGAGACATCGATACAAAAAAGTTTTTCCGGTACCGCCCGGCCCATCTACGAAGAATACTCCCCCATTACCAGAGTGAACACGACTTATGATTGTGTCGAATGCTGCTTGTTGAGGTGTATTCAACGATTGAATAGCTAATAAGTCAACTTCATTAGGCAGCAAACTCCGTTCTGCTTCTATCTCCTTTTGAACTCTTTGCTCTTTCGTAATACCAATATGAAAAGGGACCAATGAAAAATCATTGATATTCCTTCCAATGGTTGCAAGTGTATCGTTCATTTGGAGGAGGCAAGTGTATTCTGCGTCGAGGTTATTTGTTGAAAACCGTAGTAGATCCTCACATAGGTGTTCTTTATATTGCAGCCACAATTCACGTGGCTGAGCAATATCACAAAATGCGAGTAGTGTTGCAAATAGTTTACGAAAGCTGAAAGGCATTTGCCAACACATTGCTTCTTCCAGACATTGTTGTATGACTTGATCGCTTTGTAATAACCCCAACTTTTGTGCAGCTTCTCTAAAAGTTGCAGTGACATCTGAACCCACCGTTTTAAGGTGTTCGTATGACTTCGGTGCTTTTACATTTATCAATAGCAACCGCAAATAGTACCTATCACCTTCTGCGGGGTTCACACTCACAAGCCTCCCAATCACTTCCCTTTTCTTACGTGGAGCCCATTTCTTGTCTTTCTCGACCCAAACAAAGTACTCTGGAAAATGGACATACAACAAATTTAGCCTCTTAGCTGTTTCATCTGTTGTGTTCATTGAAAAGAACTGAGTCAACATTGTTCTTTGGCTCAATTCATTTTCCACAAGGTCAGACAACTTTTTCTTGTTATCAAACCTCATATATTGGTAGTTCTCCAAATGAATAGGCAAATGTACAACATATGGTTTGATTTCTGAAAGGGAGAAAGCATATATTCTCCAAGCAGCTTCAGGAGGGGACACCCACCGAGCTTTTTGGAAGTCTTCAATTTCATTAATTGCACCATTCTCTTCCCCAGGGCATAAATTGATTGCAACTCGATCATGGCCTTTGTAAATGTATTTGTAAATGTACTTGACACATTTGATACCGGCACATATCTCAACATTAATATGACAGTCATACTTTGACAATAGATAAGGGTTATAAGGGACGACCCATCTATTATCCAAACGTTTTCCCCGTACTGTAAGACATCTTGAGTTTCGCCGACGCTTATAAATGGGATATGAGTTATCACCCAATATTGTTGTCTCAGAATAATCTCTAGGATATTTATTCTTGCAAACTGAGACACCCATTTTCTTGGTCATGCAAGGATTGTCAGGGTTAATGGAACCACAAGGACCGTGCATCATATGTTTTGCTACTAAAGCATGCAATGCTGGTGTTTCCATTGGATCTGGTATTTCAGCACTGATAAGTGTATCAATTTCAACGCTTGTACGGTACTTATGGTTTCTCCCTAGTATCAATAAGAAATGAGCATGTGGGAGGCCTCTTTTTTGAAATTCAATCACATAGGTATATGCAATTACTGCACCTAACAACTTGTTCTTTATGAGGTCAACCTTTAGTTCTTCTATCTTCGCTCGAAACACCCTTGCAATCAAATTTGGTCTATTTTGAGCCTCATCATTATGCTGCAAAAGGTTTTTAATTTCCGGCCAATTCGGATTACATGTCATTGTTAGGAAAATGTCTGGCTTCCCGTAATGTTGGACCAAAGCCATTGCATCCATGTACCTCCTACGCATGTCTCTGGGGCCCCCAATAAAAGAAGGTGGTAGAATTACCCGCTGCCCAACATTTGAAGCACTTGTTTCTCCCATAGCGATACTATCCATTAACCCTTGCATGCTTTTGGTTCGAATATCACGTTGCTGTATTCGGAAATAGTCCAGCCTTTGTGTCTCAATCTTAATATACATGTCCACAATGAATTGTTGAAAAAGTCTACCAGAATGGAGAATTGCAGAGTCATTATTTGGTCGAATTTGAAAATGGTAAGCGTAGTATTCTCTACACAAGACGGTGTTTCTTTTATTTGTTGTAGCAGAATTGAAATTCTCACTTTCAAACAAAGCGTCAATGGAGGAAAATTGATTAGGGTGTAGAGATTGTGGACATGTGCGAGAGCTTGGGTGTGTTTTTTTAGGGAATTTTTGTATTCCTTCATGCCAACCACTTTCACCTTTTGGGAACAACAGAGGGTATTGTAATGGATCATAACAGCCATAATAGTATTGTACAGAGTGTGATCTACCACTTTTTGCGTACACTCTTATATCACGGCTGTTTTGTGAGCCACAATCTCCTTCGTCTATCCAAATTGCAGCTACTTGAGAGGCGGTTGGTTTATTGAACACGCGTTGGTCAACATGTGTATTTGACCGTATCACAATATTAGAATCTTCAAGACTTGATACATCTTGAAGAGTTCTAAAAAATTGTGAGTACGGATTGCTTTCTAGGACACTAATAATGTCCTTTACAACACATGCATCCATGCGCTCAGCTCCGTTGATCCTGTTTTGAATTTCATGCTCAGTATCGAAGAAATAAAGCTGGAGATTTTTGGGGGGTTTGTCGGTCGGTATCAAATCATTGATAAAATGGTACATCTGACCTTGCACCTTGAACGTATAAATCCCCTTGTTCCGCTTTGATAATTCCCTATCATAGTTGTGGATGCCTAAGGAAGTAAATGCAAAGGTGTTGTTATATGTTCGAACACATGTTTGAAAATGGCGAGCCGCTTCATCTTTTTCACAAAAGTACCGTTTTAGAAGGGCTGGCATTTCATTCGACACCAACACTACTTGTCCAGTAGAGCAACAAAAACCAGGGGGCTCATATTGAAATCGAATAGCTTCGCAATATTGACATGGCAGACAATCTTTAAGAATAAAACTCTGTTCTGGAAGCCGCAGGTGAATAATATTTTGTGTGGAGCAATCTCCGAATTGGGGAGTATGTGGTGATATTTCTTCATGAATTGTATGGAATGGAGGAACAGTATTTGGTGCTTCCGTCTCGATAGAATCTTGAAGCGAAGAACCGTATGACATTGGTTGCATACCAAGGGAAGACGTTGGACGATTGGAATCTATTGGAGCAATATTCATTCCATGGTATGTCATCATACGATTGTTTGAACGTGTTTGTGAATTTGGAGTAGCATGACATTGATGGATCCAAAAATAGTAGGAAAAGATCAAGTAAGTTGGGCGTTTGCACGACACAATTCAAACGAAATGGACAAATTAAATAATGTCAAATCATACCCAAACGAGCGTTTTCCGTTCGTAACGGGATAGATGCATTAAATTTGTTTCTACGACGTTGATTTAGATCGTCTAACATCTTTCTTTTCTTCGCAGGGTCCATTGATGCATACGCATTTCTCCTCTTCAAGTTCATCTCTGCTCGACGACTTTCGTTTGAAGCATATCTCTCCCTACGTCTTTGATTCTTCTGAAGTCGGCTACTCTCAGGAGTGTTAGAAGGCGTGGTATTCATTTTGTGCATGCACTATAACTATTTAAATGCAAAAGTGTTATATATTAAAACTTTTATATCATAAGCAAAGAGAATGAATTAGAGGAAGGTGGTACGTGGCAAGTTCCTTCCATTTTTTTGGGTAGATGACTTTTTTAAAATAAGCAGTAAGGATTTGTAAACTACGAATCTCTATTTAAGTAACATGATTGCCAATTTACACTTCATAGAAATGAGATAAAACAAATTATATATGATATATAAACCTAACTCGTTTGTATCAATGTAAATAGACTATCCAGACCATTTGGGGAACTGTGATGCGCTTGCTCGCTTTCTCTATCCTTTCAATTAAAGGATATTCTCTTATACCTTAAACAAATTTAAACCTAGTTTCATTATTCCTAAAAGAGTAACTCTCAGTTTCTGAAACAATCTCAACCTTTTTCACTCATTTTAACCCAAATGTCAACCATGTACTCTAAATTGTTGAGTCAAATCAAACATAATCTTAGAAGAAAAAAAAAGAATTCTGTTAATAAATATTGATAGGGGATGAGTGATACACTCAAATATGTGGTATTTTCAAGGGGGAAAGCTGATTTTGTAGTGGCTATGTGATAGAAATTGTAAAGATTAACTTTGGAACATCATTTCGCAATGCGTGTCTAACAAAATCGTTGTATAAAAATAGAAAGTTAACTTCAATAAAGTATACATATTTTTTTCTGTTGACTATCAATGTTTAATTCTCATTTTATTTAAAAAAATTACTAATCCAATTTCAATATGTTAATGGGGAAAAATTTGAATTTTAAGTAAATATATTTATAACAAGATGTTACTGATGAAAAGTGCAAAAATAGTCTTATAGTATTGATTGCTTGAAATGTAGTTTTAAAGTTGACTGTAATAGGACTTTATCCCTACAAAAAAATCTATTAAAATTAGTGTTTTGTGATCCCTAAAAATAAGATAGGCTCGTTCTAAAGTTAGGGGTGGCTTTACATTTTCTTAGAAATTTTCTGTTCAAAAATAAAACTATCAAACATTCTTTTGATGTAGGTGGCCTTGCACAAGTTAAATGAACCACATTCATGTACATCATTATATACATTAAAAAGAATTATTGCTTCCCATATGATTAAGCAAAGAAGATAAACAGCTAATAATGCTATTAACCAATTTTTGAGGGAAAGATTTTTGAAAATCTTAACTAAAATAGCATACAAGCTACAGATAAATACAATGGAATGTGGAAAATTATCTTACCTCCAGATGAAATTCGTTCAGCTCAAACTGCAAACGATCTCTCAAGCCTAAAATGATTTTACAAAGTACATAGAAGATGAGTAAGATGACTGATTGAAGGATGGAGCTTTCACTAATAGTCGGGGTTTGTTCGAAAAGTTTATGATTCAATTAGAGTGAATAAGCATTTCCTAGATAAAGCAGTTCTTCCTTTCTACGTCATCAATTCAAAAACATACCTTTCAAACTTTTATAGCAATCAGATAAGGTCGGGAAGTACAGATATTCATTCAAGCATTATTTAACTTTTAAATGCATCATATACCAAATGACCAAATTTGAGAAGAGATAAAAATTAGCCAGGGATGAGATCATCAAAAAAAAATCCAGCTGCCATTTGTATGTAAGTAAGCAATTTCATTTACAATATAAAAAAAAACATATCGTGGTGAATGAAATCTAGATTATGGAATTAAATCTAGAATTAGTATTTCGTGTGAAGATTCAGTCATTAAGTTCTATACAGACGTTACTCAACCAAATTATGGTTGCTTATGTATGTCTGTCAATCTTCCAACAATCTATGCATTTGTGTCAACTCTAGCATACTACAGATTTATAGCTATGCCTTCCAGTTCTCTTTCCCTATGAGATTTGTAATAGATTAACTAATGATTATCATTGTATGCTAGGTTGAAACTTTTATTTACACTTCACTTGATGAAAGATAATATAACTGCCATCAAAATTCGCTTCTGTGCCAAAAATAGAGGGAAAACATCATATTTACAAATCGTTTTTGTAACCAGACCTGCACAAATACTTTATTTCCGATATTAAAACGAAAGATAAGCATTAAAGAGAACAAAAGTCGTATTATCTTCACCTATATGTTTTAATGTTCTTTTAAATGAAAGAGGTCAAGGCATATTAACTCAGTGGTTCAGAGAATTTAATCTCTTAATAGAGAAACTGAAATCTAACTTACTGTTTTTCTGCTCTATTTACTTATAAAAAATGACAGCTTTGTCACAAAGAGACACATTTTTCACATCTAGGGAATTCTTAGAATACATCCTCACTATCATTTTGAAGAGTTAAAATGTTAGAGAAACATTAACCCAAATATGTTACATTAAATCTCACACGTCTTTGTAAATTAATATGAAAGATATGTTAGAGTTAAAATATGTTAAAATCTGTTTGTACCCAACTCTTTAATAAAGTCGTGTCAAGGCATATTAACTTAGTGGGTAAGAGAATTTAATATTAAAATACGTTAAAATATGTTGTATCCACAAGGCATATGTTAGAGTTAAAATCTGTTAAAATCTGTTTGTACCCAACTTTTTGCATCCTGGGCAGTGTGTCATATATCATAGAAACCTGAAATTACGAACAAATTCTTTAACTTAAAAGCATTAAAAGACTGCGCATACATTATTACAAACCCAACCACCCAACTAAACTACATGGACTAATGGCCAAGAGAAATTTAAGATAAAACACCTTCTTTACATTTTATATATGCTTTGGATGAGTTTTAAACAAAATACAAATTATAAAGTGCATCCTAAATTTAAGCTAATTTCATAGAATTGTTGAAATGACCTTTTTGTGTTTTTCTGTTGAAAAGCTACTTTATAGTTAGTAAGTGGAAAGATGCCAGTGTAAATTTAAAATAGCACACGGAAAAAAACATAAAGAATAACTGTTACAAACCAATAAACACATTGCTACTTTTGTGTTTTAGTTTCAAGTCCATTACCTTCTATCAGGAATAAAATACTAAGGCACTGAATGCTCATGAGTTTGAACGCCATGTTCGTTGCAAAACAAAGCACCTAAATAATCATGTGTACTCTGAAAATGGCAGGGCCATTTTTCAGACTGTCTAGGAGCTAAGAAGCACAAGAGAGAGTGAGCTGCTTGACAACACAACCATCTTTTTTTTCAGATTCAGTCATCATAGTTTTCCTTTCTTAACTTATAGCCAGTTAAGAAAAATTGTCAAAGACTATTCATTTTATTTTGGTTAGATTGACCTATAGTACAGACCATGATATCCACCTTTTTTTCTAAAAAAAAACTTGTCAAAGGAGCCAAGAAAACTGGGGGAATTGACAAAAGCGAGTGTCGACCATAACTAAGAAACAATATTTGATCAATTAATCAATTAACAAATGAATTCAGATTGCAACAAAAAATACACACAACAACCAAGATTAGATCAATTAGCATTTGATCTTTTCTTCTCTAGGATATCATGAAGCCATGTTTGGTTTAAGATTAAACATTCAGAATATCTTTAAATAAAAAACATCATAAGATCATGATGTGTATGTGGACAAAATGATAACTATCTTTCTAGGAGAATGATATTTTTATACATGAACTACTGGTTGAAAAAACATGAAGTAATTCAGAAGTTATAGCAAATAAAAGCTTCCATGACACAAGCAAAGCAACAATGTGCTGTGGGGTTAATCAAAGTGCAGAGATGTTTTAACTTTTAATTAAAGATTGGAGGCATGCATCATTAGAATGCCAACCTTTACAATGTGCAACAACTTCAAACGTTAGCAATACTATAGACAACCAAAGGAGAAGAACATTTATATTGTAAAGAGAATAAAATATTTCATAGGCAAACTGATGAAACCTTGAATTACAGAAGGATAAACATGTAAACGTAAATGCAAAAATAATGCAAAACTGAATTCAGATGTTAAAATATAGAACACTGGTCTTTTAAAAAGGTCTTTTTTTTTGGGGCAATCTCTACAACAGGTGATTTGTGCGTTACTATATAAAAAGGATATTGGGGCAATCTGTACATGTATCACCAAATGCGGATCTAGTTTTTTGGTTTAGTAAAATTAACAACAGCTTTCTTACAGCCAGACCATGTAGCGTAAGAAAATAAAGTTAAATATAATGGTTCACACATTAGACTTTTAACCTCAACATCATTTAAAGCCTAAGAGTATTGTATTTTCAATCATTAAGTACTTCTATGATAATTCATTCAAATTGAAAAAACAATTTTCTCTTTCTCCAAAATCAGTGTTCCCTTTTAAAATTAGGGAAATTCAACTGTACAAAATCACAATATTTTGAATCCGTCAATGAAACAAGGTTTACGTTTCCCAGCCTTCCTATGAATCATGTAAACCTGAAAATAATTTTACCACAGTACGCTTCCCTGCCTAATGCTGGATGTTAATTAAGCTAATACACTACCAACCTACTCATCAAATGTACGCATAATCATCGAATCTAGTTTCTATTATATTGGAGTAAATATAACTTGAATCTATCTACTAAACATTGGGCATTGATATCTAATTTTATCTTAATATTGTGATGATGAAACAGAGAGTATACATAAACACTCCTGAAATCAATCATTAAAAGTTTATGAAGGCTAATAAATGTATTTTTGAAGGAAAGACAGTCGAAAGGCCTAATTAAAGTAGCAGACACAAGTATAGATAGGTACAATGTAAATATGGAAAACTATTTTACCCCCAGATGAAACACACTGAGATCAAATTGCCAACAAACGTTCCAACCTAAAAGAAGGTTTTAAAAAGTACATAATAGGTTAAATCAATTAAACAATAGGTGGAAAGTGAAGTCAATACTAACAAAGTGTTCAATGAAATCGTATGCAGCTGTCATGCCAAGTCATTGTCATTAAATTAGTTGACATTTGTTATTTCAGAATAGTTCAGAGCTATACATTTACTATACTTGAAGTCTTGAATAAACTAAAAATAACGGGGAGATAAAATACTTGGTATTCTATGCCTGTCTATTTAGTTGAAAGACAAAGAGTACCATGTCTCAGGAGAAAAGTAACTTTTCACATGGTCATGGAGTCAATCATCTATCGCTGTATTATTTTTTTTGTTAAAATAATCTCTATATTCAATATTTAGTCTCCCTAACTTTAATGATTTTTACCTACGTTGGTTTACTGTAAAGTTGTGTGTCATGTCTTTACAAGTACATTGTATGCCGTAAATGCTGCCAAGGTGCAATCTTCAACAAATTAGCAATCATTATTCCAGAATTTTTAAGAAAGTTTTTTTTTGAAAAGAAAAGGGTTTTGGAACCTGAAATGCATTTTACAGATTCCAATACACAAAAAATGTGTAGAATATTTCATGTATTTTAAATTTATGACCAACAAAATGATGTTGTATGACGTAGAAAGTTAACTTCAACAAAGCATACATATTTTTTTTTGTTGATTATCAATGTTTTATTCTCATTTTATTTAAAAAATTTACTAATTCAATTTCACCATGTTAATTAGGAAACATTTGAATTTCAAGTAAATATATTTATAATAAGACGTTACTGATGAAAAGTGCAAAAAAATAGTACTGATTGCTTTAAATGTAATTTTAAAGTTGTATGAATAGACTATTTATGAAATGCAAACTCACAAAAAGTCTGGACATTTTTTTCCTAATTTCACAAGAAAAAGTATTTTACAAAATATCTAATATATATATGACTAAAAAATAAGTGTAAAGTCAATTATACCAGGCTTTTCTTTCCTTTCTGTTCATAATTCTGTTTACTAAACAGGTTTGAAAGAAAAAGAGTAGAAGATATTTTATTCCAAAAGGCAGAACAAGATGTCATGAATATCAATTACTAAATCATCCATACGTAGTAGCAGCACCACACATTAAAGACATTCAAGTCTATTAAAAAAGCATTTTTTTGTTGATTCCAAACAGCCACCACCACAAAACACTGGCCATTTCAAACAAAAGTAATCGGATATTTAGGTAAACAGCCACCACCACAAAATTTTCACATGCTTGCACATAAGATTGCACATAAAAATTTTCACCATCTGTTTTCACATGGTCTTGACATGTAAAATGTCCAGCATGCCTTCCAACCACTGAATCATGACTCTTTTAAGATCAAAGGAATCCTGGCAGAATGTTTAGGTAATAGTAACCTTCTTTTGTAATAGAAAAGTTTTTTTCTGAGTTTAAAGTCTGGGAAAGTGTCTGGTTTTCCCAGAATTGTTTGAATGACCTTTTGATATTTTTCATCCTTGAGTAGCCCTTCTTCTAACCCTTCTCACCCCTTACAAGTCACTACTAATAAGCTACAAGCAGTTTACTATGGCAATAGCATGCATTTATACTGTGTCTTGTACCAAACAAACCAACTACACAGTATTTCAGACACCAAATATAGGGAGAAAAATCAGGGCAGACCACCAATCAAAGTGAGGAGTGAATAAAATTAGATACACCGTTACAAATAACATGATTAAAACGATCTTAAGTTCATAAACTCAGAACGAACTGAAGCTGCATTTTTTTATTTCATCTTTTTCCTTCACTCCCTAAGTTCTAATATTATCATATCCTATTCGCAAGTTTATTAAAAAAGAAGTTTTTTGTTGATTCTAAACAGCCACCACCACAAAACACTGGCCATTTCAAACAAAAGTAATCGGATATTTGGATGGCTTAAGCGACATAAACCAGAATATAACCTCTAAAAGCAGAGAAAGAGTTGCCAAGTTTAAGTAGTATACCTGAAAAATCTGACCTTTAAGTAGTATACCTGAAAAATCTGACCCCAATGATAAACTAATTAACAAGGGGTGAACTAATTTCTTTTTTTAAACAAACAGAGTCATTATAATTAAAACAGAGGTATATATAAGTTACGTCCACTGCCAATAAATTAGTAGCTAACATTGATTTCAACTTGACAATGATAATAAAGTGCAGTCTGGAGTTAGTATCTATCAAAATGAATTATGTTTGATCCATAAAAGTCATGTGTGAACCAAAATCTGCCAAAACAAAGCAGTACAATGCAATTTTTTTTTAAACAATTAGATTAATACGTATAGATTAACTCACTAAGGCTTTGAAAAAGTGACAAATATAGTTATTAATATGATAGGCAAATTGTAGAAATCAAGTGTAATGGTGGATAAAGCAATAGCTTACCTTGGCCTGAAATGAACAAAAAATGAAACATGCACACTGGAAAACCATGTAAAAACATGGTTTTTTTTTCTTTTGATTTTTGTTCTATTATGTACTCAGAGTTGACGAATCAATGTAGTGATTGTTACCCCAAGGCAAACTGGGTATGTAGTTCAGGTTTCTAACAAGCCCCTTCAAGCCTTTGATTATCTAATATAAGTTGTAAGATATTTTTTAAAAAAAAAAATGCAGTGTACCACATAAATTACTTTATGTGCGATGGTAAAAGACTTTGAATGCTTTTTATATACAAATCACTGTAACGGTCTTGCGTGCAACCTAAACATTAATTAAACATCTAGTAAACAATGTATATCTATTTTACATTCAAAGTCATTGGTTCTCTAAGCTTCGCATGAAATTATTTTACGGAAAACTTTTAATGTGTAAATAATCAAATGAGCCGTATAAAACGTGTAAATTATAAAATGAGCCATATAACTATATAGGAATCCGAAATCCTAACATTGACAAGTGCATTTTTTATTTCATCTTTTTCCTTCACTCCTTAAGTTTTAATATTATCATATCCTATTCTCAAGTTTATTAAAAAAAGCATTTTTTGTTGATTCCAAACAGCCACCACCACAAAACAATGGCCATTTCAAACAAAAGTAATCGGATATTTGGATGGCTTAAGCGACATAAACCAGAATATAACCTCCAAAAGCAGAGAAAGAGTTGCCAAGTTTAAGTAGTATACCTGAAAAATCTGACCTTTAAGTAGTATACCTGAAAAATCTGACACCAATGATAAACTAATTAACAAGGGGTGAAGTAATTTCTTTTTTTAAACAAACAAAGTTGTTATAATTAAAAAAGAGGTATATATAAGTTAAGTCTACTGCCAATAAATTAGTAGCTAACATTGATTTCAACTTGATAATGATAATAAAGTGCAGTCTGGAGTTAGTATCTATTAAAATGAATTATGTTTGATCCATAAAAGCCATGTATGAGCCAAAATCTACCAAAAGAAAGCAGTACGAGGTATTTTTTTTAAATCAGATTAATTGATATAGATTAACTCATTAATGTCTTGAAAAAGTGACAAATATAGTTATTACTATGATAGGCAAATTGTAGAAATCAAGTGTAATGGTGGTTAAAGCAATAGCTTACCGTGGCATGAAATGAACAAAAATGAAACATGCACACTGAAAAACCATGTAAAAACATGGTTTTTTCTCCTTTGATTTTTGTTCTATTATTTACCAAGGGTTGATGAATCAATATAGTGATGTTACCCTGAGGCAAATTGGGTATGTAGTTCAGGTTTTTAACAAGATGGATTTATCAACTATAGCCACCCATATAAGTTACGTCTACTGCCAATAAATTAGTAGCTAACATTGATTTCAACTGGATAATGATAATAAAGTGCAGTCTGGAGTTAGTATCTATCAAAATGAATTATGTTTGATCCATAAAAGCCATGTATGAGACAAAATCTGCATAAAGAAAGCAGTACGTGGTTTTTTTTAAAAAAATCAGATTAATTGATATAGATTAACTCATTAATGTCTTGAAAAAGTGACAAATATAGTTATTACTATGATAGGCAAACTGTAGAAATCAAGTGTAATGGTGGTTAAAGCAATAGCTTACCGTGGCATGAAATGAACAAAAATGAAACATGCACTTTTATTATGTAGTTCAGGTTTTTAACAAGCCCCTTCAAGCTGGCCATCCCTCAAATAAAAGCAAAACGATAAAGCTTTTGACATATTACAAGGAACGGGAAGTGATATTGTCATATTACACTTTTATTATGTATATATATCATTATTATAAAGCTGTTGACATAAGCTTGTAGACATGCTACTGCCTTTGTGTTGCAGAGAATTGGTTTTGACATAAGTCTCAAGTCATGCTGACATTTAAACAAACACATAAATGACACTAATTTAAAAACAAAAATGATAAAGTAATAGCTTATTGTGGCATGAAATGAACAAAAATGAAAATGCACTTTTTTTATGTAGTTCAGGTTTTTAACAAGCCCCTTCAAGCTGGCTATCCCTCAAATAAACGCAAAATGATAAAGCTTTTGACATATTACAAGGAACGGGAAGTGATATTGTCATATTACACTTTTATTATGTATATATATATCATTATTATAAAGCTGTTGACATAAGCTTGTAGACATGCTACTGCCTTTGTGTTGCAGAGAATTGGTTTTGACATAAGCCTCAAGTCATGCTGACATTTAAACAAACACATAAATGACACTAATTTAAAAACAGAAATGATAAAGCAATAGCTTACTGTGGCATGAAATGAACAAAAATGAAAATGCACTTTTTTTATGTAGTTCAGGTTTTTAACAAGCCCCTTCAAGCTGGCTATCCCTCAAATAAACGCAAAATGATAAAGCTTTTGACATATTACAAGGAACGGGAAGTGATATTGTCATATTACACTTTTATTATGTATATATATCATTATTATAAAGCTGTTGACATAAGCTTGTAGACATGCTACTGCCTTTGTGTTGCAGAGAATTGGTTTTGACATAAGCCTCAAGTCATGCTGACATTTAAACAAACACATAAATGACACTAATTTAAAAACAGAAACTTCACAATGGCAAGATGGAATTATCAACTATAGCCACCCAAACTACTACCATAAAGAAACCTGGGAGTCTGTAAGTTCAATCAAAAAGAAATTTGGGAGGCGACAGATTTAAACAGAGAAAACCCCCAAAAATTCTCCATTGAACTAATTATACAAAAACAGTTGAAAAGTGTAGAATGAAACAGAGATGCGGAAAACAGAGGGATAAGCACACAAATCTGCAGGCAAAGCAACTATAGAATGGAAAATTATTGAATATAGACGAAAAACGCACCAGAGTAGAACAGGGCAGAAGCGGAAAATTGATGGAATAGCAGTGGCACGACATTTATAAGCAACCAAGGGAGGATGCTTGAGAAAACAAACTGTTCAAACGCCATTACTGTGGAGGAGGTATGTTGAGCGGTTGAAACGGAAGAGATGAGTCGAAGGGGCTCTGAAGATTTTTCAACGTATAAGGTAAAGAGTCGAGAAGGTCAGAAGGAATAGAGAAGGTCAGAACGAATAGGTTTGGTGTAATGCGAACATGTTTCCTCCGTAATAATAATAAGGACATAACGGTGGAAAGTGATGAGTTTAATTTAAAGATGTACAACAAAGTTAACACAAAGTACATTCAGCTTATGCATCAAGAACAACAAACATTTTTTTTATGACAGTTTAACCCCTGACAATATTCAGGCTTATTAGATTGTAGAGATAAACTAATTTCGTCATGAAACACGTAATTCTTGAATTTACGAACTGAATTTGTAATAATTAAAATAAGCAAGTTAAAAACATTTTTCGGCGAAATGACTGAAGTTACCGTAGAGCATCATCTTAGCCACTTTTTCATATGACTTTTTTTCATATCTTACTTATAACATATAATTTAAATATCATTCTTTCCTAATATAACAAATTCGGTCGCTTGAGCCATAATCGAATAATTTGGCTTGATGTGATTTGATCTAAGACCAAAATCAGTCCAATAACAAAGTCCTTAAAGTTACACAAAAAAATTGGTAATTGTATAAAATAGAAACAAAGCTAATGAATATATATTAAATAAAAATCCAATTAAAATAATGTGAAGTAATTGGATCGAAATTTTCAAATGTAGGCTTTTTAAATTTGATTTCTCATATGCATGCCCATTATTTTTAGTTGATAGAGGACATTAACTTAATAAAATTTTAGTGCCCATTTAGTGACTCTGTTTTTCGGCTTATCAACCAACTTTTTAACCAAACATGAAACTTTTGATTTTGCGCGCTGAATTGTGTAATAATAAGAAAAAATAAGGTTGAAGTTACTTTTAAGGCTGTACTGACTGAAGTTGTTGTAGATGGCCATTTTATCTATTTTTTCATATCATTTCTTCTTCATTTTATTTAATATAATATATTTTAAATATATTTTTTCATAATCAACAGAAACAGTCAATACAGCCACTTCAGTCAGAACTTTATAAATTTCAGTAGAATCGGCCGATTCAGCCGATTTCGGTGTTACTAAATGGGCTCTAGTTGATAGTGGACATTTATTTAAAATTTTGTAATATCTTTAAAATTGTTGTATAAATCAATAATAAAAGCAAAGCCTAAGCAATAATAATTATTTTTATAATTATGTTAGATTAACAAGTGATCTCGTTTTAAGCCACCATATCATTGATTTATCTTTATACTTACATAAATGGAAACTTACTACCCCCTAGTGTAATGAAAAAATGAAATTAATTGTAACAATACATAAATTTTACACCTTTTATGTTAAAGTAAGATTGAATTATTTTTCTACAGAATAAGTTTATAGAAAAAGCTCAAAAGAAATTTAGTGCAACCAATTAAATATAAGTGTAAAAAAATTAAACATTAAGTAAACGTTATGTCTAATCATTTTGTTGGTTATGACTATCTTAAAAAATATTTTTTTAATGAAACGTTATACTATTTTAATATTTTACTTCTTCTTTTTATTACTTTTTTATTAATTAGAATTACATTACAATAGGGACCCCGTGATTATGAGTTTCTGGGTCCGCCACTGCCGAGTATAATCAACGCTTTAATTTCTAAGACCCTCAAAATAGGGTGATATCATATTATAAATAATAATTTATATTTCCCACTTATTATTTCTATAATAAGTAAATTCATTTATTTGTCGGCACACGGCCCTTCTCATATATTCTTTGCGTTTATCATTTGTACAACCCAACCCGTGGGTCTCATTATTTCTACGGGATTTGCTACCGCTGTCGGAGACCTCGTGACGTTCTCGGTTCAGATTTCAACATCCCGCCCCTGGACACATACCCATCATCCCGTAGGAAGGTAAGGCCCTTCGGGGTCATATCTTATGTGTTACCGCTACCGGAGCCTAGTTAGGTCTCCGATTCGGATTCCACCCTAACCCGTGATCACGATGCAAGTCCATGCTATCCAACCCCGCTCTCTAGAGTCGGGAAGGGCCATGGTCCTTACTTATTTCCATAATTCAACCGGCTATCCTCAAGGACTACTGAACACACCCGTAGGCCAATCCTATATCTAGGATCAATTTATTATTTACTTTATCTTGGGTATCCCTTAAGGCCTACCCCTAGTATAACTTAAAGTTCATACTTTCCTACCTTAAAGCATCTATTAAGACTACTTAAGGCATAACATTTCACAATCCAACCTTAGGATCAATCTTAACAACATTTCATTTAATGTCCAACTAGTATCTTAATACTAGTCAAATTAATTGCAACAAACCAAGTTCTCAACTCATAGTCATATAGACAATTCCAACTGATTTTCCATTGAAAATATCATTTATCACAATATTCAAAATATCACTTTTAATCACTCATATATTCTAATATGAAGAAAAAAGTATATTTCAACATATGTTTCATAATTAATTCCACTTTCAAGTCAACATACTCCTAACACATGATCATACACAATTTACTCTTAAATTTGTATATCATGCTCCTTTTTCTATAGACATTAGTCTTCTCATTCTTAGGCATTATTAATCATTAATAATCCATAAAAACACATTTAATTACCTTAGGTAATCTCATGAAATTAACTCACTAATTATAAGCAATATAGTCAGCCATCCTCACCTCGTGATGTGCTACAATAGTTGCCTTTGTTAAGCCCCTCGATCAATCCCCATTCTAGGCCGATTGAACGTGGAAAACTGGACTGCTGGGCAAAAGCCGGGCGGCTTTCGTAGTCTGCAACTACGAACAGCTCCTTTGGAGTGGCGGTTTCCGGCGATTTCGACTCCTATCGATTTGCCAACCCTTCTAAGTTAATTACCACCACTTTATGTCAATATTCTACACTTTTAAACGTGTAGAACTCATGGTTTAATCCACCATATGATTCCTTAAAAATCATACACAATAAACTAGTTAAAAGAGGATAGATGAGTTCTTACCTTCCTCTTAGCTAGTTTTCTCCTAGGATTCCCTTCTTCCTAGCTTCCTCCAACTATGGCTTTGCTGAGATAGCTTCCTGGAGTCCTTCTCTCTTCTCTTGTGTCGGCTGAATGAGTGGAATGGGAAGGGGGGAGGAACCTCTACTCAATCAAGCAAAATGATGCATGAGTAGGGTCCTAAAAATGGCTAATGTGACTCATGCCATCCCTTCACTTAATAACTCCGCACACACACACTTCCTATGGTCTCCTCCAGCTCTCTCCTTGTCTGCTAGAGCATATAGAAACGTGGGGTGGCCCCCACTCATGTGGGAGGTCATCCCATTGTGTCCCGATGTGTATAATCGGTCCCGAAAACTATATTTTTCGGACTGTTTCAATTACATTTTATTTAATCGGGGCAAATAAAATATATCACACGTTCCTATTAGTCATAGGCCTTTAGAATAGATGTACATTCCCCAATATTAATTTAGGAGTCTCCGAAATTCATCTCGGGCTATTATCCGATAAATTACCGATACCGGTAATTGGGCCTCGTTTGACCCACCGGTCAACTCCATGCCTTTCCTATGGCCCAAATAAAATATCCACCACCATATAGATGTCATCTAGACCAAGATGAATATAATATGTGGTTCTGGAATTAACGGGCGGTCCCCGTTCCCGCTGTGGGCCCCACATGCAATTTACTATTCACGTAAAAGAAATAATAAAATTTAACAATTACGTAAATTCATAAATCATCCTTCAAGGTTTATTACATAATTTACTAAAAGTAAATATGCTTGGGGACGGTGTCACAAGTTCACCCCCCCTTAACGGGAATTTTGTCCCCGAAATTCACAACGCTTATTCAAACAGGAAAGCATACTGTTCCCTCATTAGGGCTTCCGTTTCCCAAGTTTCCTCTTCAACTCGGTCACTTTTCCAAAGGATTTTAACCATTGGATCTTTCTTGCTCCTCATCTTCTTGACTTGCCTGTCAAGTATCTTTTTCGGTTGCACGACATAATTCAAGTCTTCCCGTATTTCCACGGGTGGTTTCTCTAACACATGAGACGGGTCCGGAATATACTTCTTAAGCATAGACACATGGAATACATTATGTATTTTCTCCAATTCCGGAGTCAACTGTAATCGGTATGCTACGGCCCCAATTCTTTCAAGAATCACAAATGGCCCTATGTAGCATGGGTTAAGTTTCCCTCGGCTTTGAAATTGGATGATTCCTTTCCAAGGTGAAACCTTCAAAAATACCTCGTCTCCAACCTTAAACTCTAAGGCTCTTCGGCGCTTATCGGCATAGCTCTTCTGTCTATCCTGTGCCGCCTTAAGTCTCTCACGAATCATCTTCACCTTTGACTTGGTGATCTCCACCAGTTCCGTGCTCTTGAGTTTGGCCATGCCAACCTCATCCCAACACAAAGGTGTACGACATCTCCTCCCATACAATGCCTCGTATGGAGGCATGCCTATACTCGCCTGATAACAGTTGTTATAGGCAAACTCCACAAGTGCCAAATGGTTGTCCCAACTCCCTTGGAACTCCAATGCACAAGCTCTCAGCATATCCTCTAATATCTGTATAACCCGCTCGAATTGCCCATCCGTTTGTGGATGAAAAGTTGTACTGAATTTCAACTTTGTCCCCATAGATTCTTGGAACTTCGGCCAAAATCGTGATGTGAATCGCGGATCTCTATCGGATACAATGGTTATCGGAACCCCATGTAGCCTCACGATCTCATCCACATACAACTTGGCTAACCTCTCTAGTGCATAGGTGGTGTTGATAGGTAGAAAATGTGCACTCTTCGTGAGCCTATCAACCACAACCCATACGGCGTCATAGTTCTTAACCGTCCGTGGCAGCCCCACCACGAAATCCATAGTTACGTGTTCCCACTTCCATTCAGGAATGGAAAGTGGCTGTAATAACCCAGCTGGATGCTGATGTTCTGCCTTAACTTGCTGACAAGTAAGACACCTACTGATGTACTCGGCTA